TAAGTCCCAAAGTCAAAACTATTAAGCAAACCTCCGAATTGGTTAAACTATATGGTAGAAAAACTCTACCAACTTTGGCACTCTGATACATATACGGGCCCTTTGCTTTTGCTTCTTTATACTTCCAGCCATTTCACTGCTCATGAATACCTCTATCAAAGGGTGGGCAAGTGAAATGAAAGAAGATGGAAAGTGAAACAATTTTGCTAATTGTTAGCAGTTCGGGGCAGCTAGGTGGCGCAGTGGATAGAGCACCGGCCCTGAAGTCAGGAAGACCTGAGTTCAAATCCGGCCTCAGACCAAACACTTGACACTTACTAGCTGTGTGACCCTGGGCAAGTCACTTAACCCCAATTGCCTTAAAAAAAAAAAAATTCCTAATTGTTAGTAGTTCTTTGGTGGTTTAACAGCGTGTAGGTTTAAATGGGGTTTCTGAATCATCCATGGATTTTAATTATCCATGCTGTCTCTGTCTCCTGTTACCATTGATAACCAAGAATTGGCTGTGCCAAGATCCAGGGCTCCATTTTTAAGTTCTAAAGACATCAATAAAAATAGGAGCATCCATAAGTATCTAGGGCAAGCACTGGAATGAGATTCTCTCTGAGGATCAGAGTTGAAGATTCCTGAGACAGCCACTTGTTATATTTACAGGAGTCAGTAGAGAGATGGACTCCTCAAAATTTGAGCAATCAAGTGAGATGTGTACACACATGACACGTTGGCTTTTGGAAGAGAATGTGGGAAAAAAACCACAAAGCACAGACTGCCCAATGCGTGAATGGATGTGTAATTAACTGGGAAATACACCCAAAAAGAAAGTGGTCACTACAGCACCTAAACCAGAAAGGCCTTAAGGTAAACTGTGACCAGCTGACAGCACACTAAGACAAACCAAAACAATTATAAAAAGGTAAAGTATTTGCATTTAATTAGAAAATGACTAATTGGTGTCTTGGTTTTTGAAAAATAGTGCCATGGCACCATAGCAAGGGTAAAAGCAGGTCAATCCCTTGCATAACTTACCTTGATTGGCCCAATGGAAACAGAAGGCCCCAGAAAAGAGAGAAGCATCTGGCAGTAGCAAATTGTTTTATTTTATCTTTCTGTGGAAAGAAACTAATTTTAAATAAGAACCAGAGCATTTAAAGAATAAATATTTTTTAAAAGCTCAATATCTAGTTAGAGCAGCTCTATCAAGAAACCAAGAGCTCCTTGCTGCTTGGGAGACTGTAAGGAACAGAAGAAGGATCACAGAATTGTTTCTCCACCACCAAGAGAGTTTTGAAACTTGTGTTGTTCCTAGATCAGAAGGCCAATGGCTCAATTATTTAAAGAGATGCTATGGGCAAAGAGCCAGTCTCTTGGGCCAGATACCTTTGAATAAAGAGTTTTAAACTACTAATTGGTTTTACTATAGAAAAACTACACAGAAGAAAAGCATTTGTGACAAACCTTTCTAGTTTTAATTAAAAAAAAAAAAAGACTCTTTTTCCATCCTGGCTGCTATACAATTTCACTATGAACTCAATGATCTTTTAACAATTATCAAACTAAACAAAACTAATTAGAGAAAGATCATATTCAGTACCTTTGATTGCCTCCATGTGATATAGCAGTCTAGATTTCTGATGATTTATCAAGACTCTTATGGAGAGAAACCGGCTACTTAAATTTCATATAGCATCTAACAGACTTAAAGCATAAATATCAGTCACAATAACTGAATTTAGTTACTCTTCCTGATTAGAACACTACAGGGTAACTGAGTTAGCACTAATGAAGCTTCTTGATACAAATCACTCCTATTTACAACTTATACTAGAGAGAGAAGGGACAGTTCATCAGTAGGAGTGAAGAAAATCAACAAGCACTTTCTCAATTCAAAATAAAAGTGTCCTATAGAAAATTAGGAATGTGGAACAGGAAAATGCAAGAAGACTGTTTTGGTATCAAAAAATGCATAACACTCAAATTCTAAGGCAAATACCTAAACAATGTTGCTGATGTAGGTTTTCTTATTCTTACATACATTTACCTCAGTTGGATAACCCACAAAATACATGGTGAACTGAACAGATAGTTTCTAGATTTGCAGCTAGGGCATAAGATCAAATTGACTTGCTTGACAAAAATCAAATCAGTCAACTAAAAACATAACCTTTAAGCTACCAAAAAACTGCTATTCAAGCATATTTTTTCAAAGTGGAAAAGGTGAGCATTTTTATGTGGACGACAGCCTCAGTACAGTTAAAACTCTGGTTACGGAGATAATTCAACATTTCATTTCACTTGAAACCTTTGACTATGTTTTTGGGGAAATGTCAATCCTTGACTTATTTACTAACATTTATCCATGCTTTAAATTATTTATCACAAGGATGCTATAAAGCAAATATAATTTTTAAAACTGTCTTACTTGTCCCATTGGAGGACCTCCCATAGGGGGCATCATTTGCTGCATCATTCCATGAGGTACAGGTTGCATATTTCCTCTCTGACCCATAGGGTGCATTCCCATGGGTGGATAATGCATGCCAGGGTGTCCCATCTGAAAAACAGTGTTAGTAAAGAAAACATCAATTAATAATAAAGTCTTCCCACCCCCAAAAGCACCAAGAATGCTATCACTGAAGTGAAGTGGTAAGATATTTGGTAAAACTAAGGAACTTTTATAGAGATTTGCCCATTTATAATATATGGATTTTATAAAGGAGGGAAGATCAGAAAAAGAACTGCCTGTTTATGTATAATCAAAAATGACGAAAAACAATTAGCACCTTAGTAAGCTATTGTGCTAAAATATAGTTTGCCCAAAAAAAATAAATAACCTATTTTAAGACCAATTCTAAGGAAGACCTGATGATTATTCTATTTATATACCAAGACAAGCTTTTAAATTTTAGCCTAAATTATTCTGTCTCACAGATAAAGGACGGATGATTTCAAAAAGTTCAACGAATAAAAACGCTACCTGTAGATGTTTCTCCAGTGTCAAACCTGTCATTTTCCCGAAAAATTCTTACTAAGGTAGATCAAAACATTCTATCTCTCTCCGAAAAGCTACTTTTCACTTTCAGTTCTAAAAGTCAATAACTATTGTTGGTTGGTCATTCTGCAAGCTATGTACAGAAAGTCCAACAGAAAGCGTATCTGCTTTAACAAGTTCATAAAATCAAAATTATTTAGGCCACAAAGGTGCCCAATGTCTCAAATCACGTAAAGTAATTATACTCTTAGCAACTCTACCCAGCCTTGCTCACTCTTTCCTTCCTTTCATCTTAAGTCACATCCCTCCCTTCTCTACTCTGGCCAAATCAGGCCTGCACCCCAAAGCAGACTTCTGCTGCCAACACCCAGCCACTGGCTCTGCCCAGGGCTCCCTCCTCCATCTTCGCCACAGTAATACCCACCTCCTAGGGACCCACATCCTTTCCTTTGTGCTATTCCGCCCTCCATTTCCCTCCCTCAGAGCCAGATCCCGCCACCTCAGGCCTTCTCCTCTGTCCACCTTTTTTTTTCTTCCCCACAAGGAGAAGGCTTCCTGTTTCTTTTTTTCATTGTGCCGCTTTTCCCCCGCCCCACCGCTCCCTTACCGAGGGCCGTCTCCTCAGGTAGCCGTCCGCAGAGGCCCATGGGCTGGAGCAGAGGCTTGAGCTGGACAGTCTCCGCTCCCCGTTCCCGGGACCCCGCGGTGGAGGGCGGTTCTCCATTTCACTCACCATGAGGCCTCCACGCTCGACTCCCGTCCCCGGCCTCATCGTCGGGCTGAGGCTGCTCCGGCGGCGGCCGCTGCCGCTACACATTCCAACAAGGAGCGATCTGAGTGGCTGGCGCCCGCTGGGGCCAAAGGGTAGAGGCTGCCCGGAGCTGCGGGGCGGGATCAGCGGGGCCAATAAGCTGACTGGCTTCCCCGCCGTCCAATCAGCGCGCGCAGCTTGCACGCAGCTCTGCGGCGATTCGCCCCCGGCCTCGGCCTCGCTCGGCGTCGCCTGCATGGAGGGGGGGAGGGGGACGGAGGAAGTTTCTGCGCCGAGTCCCCCGCCGGGAAAACTCCACCAACTTCCCCCGGGGAAGAGAAGAGTACGTAGGCCCCAGCCTCCCGGGCCTAACAGCCACCTCACCCCGTAGGGGGAGGGGCAGTGGGGGGGCTGCCGCCTTTACCCCCCACCCCAGTTACGCACGCCCCACAAACCTGAGGCCGCCGGGGAGCCAGGAGGGGGGGGAAGCAGCTTCTAGCGTTAGCGGTGGCTGGGACAGGATGCGCGCGCGCGACGCTCGAGGTTGGGCGGGGGAGGGGGGGGAAAGGGGAGGGAGGAGGGGAAGAGGAGGGGGCTCGAGGACGCGGAAGGCACCGGGTGAGAAAGCGCGAGACTGGCGAAGCACGCGATGGCCGGGGTGAAGAGGGGGAGCGTGACGCGGCACTGCGCGAGAAGGGGAGTGTGGAAGTGGGGAGAAGGTTGAAAGCCGAGTAGGGGGATGGGGAAAAGCAGTTTAGGCAAAGGAAGAGACAGGCCGTCGCGCGCTAAAGATGCTGTTTAGGCGGAAACCGAGAAAGTCCCCTCGTGTGCCTCGAAGGGGAGGACGGAAAAAAAAGCGGACGGACTAGGGAAGGGGTTTCAGAGGGGGTGCGGACGGCAGCAATGGCGTCGGGCTCTAGGACCGAGCGCCCGGATTTGCGGCTTAGGAGGGACCGGCTGGGCTGGGACGTGCTCGGCTTGCCTGGAGGCTACGCGGTGGCGGAGGCGGAGGTCTCGGGACTAGGACCAGACACCCCGAGGGGAGGGGACTGTACTTTTTGGGATGTCCGCCTTCTCCTCCCGTCCTCTCCTCCGCCTTCTCCCGCTTCCCTCGGCCTTCCCCCTCCCTCAGCTCCCAGTGTCGAGTTCGTTTTCTGATACACTTTTTCCAAGCGCTCCTGCCCCCTCCTCATCCCTGGGGTACACCCCCCCCACCTTCGTTGGTAGGCACCGGGGAGTCTTTGGGGCGCTAATTGGCCAATGGGGGAGGGGGGGCGGGAGGAAACCCCTGAGCTTCCGGGTTACGTTGCCAGTTTTCCCGCCATGTCGTTCTTTGCTAGCGGGAGCCGCTCGATTCGCCACCGCCGAGTCGGGCCTCCGGCCAGCCTGGTCCTCCCTGCCTACGCCTCCCCCTCCCAGGTTGGGGGTAGCTGGGGGGAAGGAGAGGATGACTACGAGGAAGAAGGGATAAACGAAGTGGTCCGGGATCTCCGAGCCGAGCTCTCGGCCGACACGCCGCCGCCTCAGCCCCATAAACACAATGGGGTCACCCCGAGGGTACCTGAGGCCGCCCGAGCTCCCCGGGGCCGGCGGTGGCCGGTGCAGATCCTCTCGGTGGTCTGTTCTCTTCTCTTCGCCGCCCTTCTTGCTTTCCTCCTAGCTATCATCTACATGATCGTGAAAGGTACTCGAGCTGCACGGGGAAAGTGGGGGACAGCAATGGAGTGCAGACGCTGGGTGTAGGGGGTGGGACCTCGGCTTAGCAGTTAGTAGTCAGCTAGTATTTATTTAGCACCTAATCGGTGGCCAAGCACTGTGTTAAGTGCTGGTGGTAACAAAGGCCAAAGACAGCCCCTGCTTTCAAGGACCTCACAGTCTAATTCCTGGAAAAGTACGTGGAAACAATTATGTACAAACAAGTCTATACAGGTTAAAATGGGCAACAGGTTTCAGAGGGAAGGCACTAAGTAACGACTGGTAAAGGCTTCTTGCCGAAAGGCCGGGCGGGGCGGTGGGGTCTTAAGCTTGGATACCTTACTGCCCCACTTGTTCTGTCGTTTCAGTGTTCTATTCTTTTTGACCCCGTTTGGGATTTTTTTGGCAAAGATACTGGAATGATTTGCCATGTCATTCTCCAGCTCATTTTACGTATGAGAAACTGAGGCAAACAAGTTTAACTGACCTGCCCAGGGTCACACCTCTAGGAAGAGTCTAAGGCCAGATTTGAACTCAGATTCCCAGCTCTATCCACTGCACCAACTAGCTATTCACCACCTACTGTCCCACAGAGATTAGTATACTGATTTCATCGTGTTGAAGCTTATGTTAGCTCAGTTTATTACTTGTCTTTGCCATTTTTATTTTTTAAAGGAAATAGAGACTTTTTTCTTTTTTTCCTTTTATGAAAGTCTGCAAACCAGTCAAATGGAAATGCTCCAGTTAGGGCCTCTTTTTAAAATGGCTCAAACTTCCAACAATAAATTTCTGGGACTTTTGTTGTAAAATTAGCAGTGGAGATCAAGCAGTAGTAGTAGATATGAGGATCACATCTCACTGTTTATTTCATAATCAGCTGACTCCCTAGGATTGTTTCCAACACAGATATACTACCCCTGCTTCATCTATTACTGCATAACAACTCGATTTTGCATCTTTGCATAGCTATGCACTCTCCCAATCTCTCCCCTTTGGTCTTATGTGGACCCATTGGAACAGTTAGTTATAACCTGAGACCTGAACACTGTATACTAGCTGGTAGTACATGAGTTGAAAGTGTACTCTTCTCTCTACTCCCAGCCACTGCATTGCTTCAGGCTGTCGTCATCCGTTGCCTAGACTATTGCAGTAACTTTCTATTTGGTTTCTTGTCTCAGATCTCTTTTCTCCAGTCTGTTCTACACACAGTTGCCAAAGGGATTATCCTGAAGTGCTGGTCTGACCATGCTTATAACTCCTGTATTCATTCCTATAGTTACATATTATAGGATAAGATACTTCATCATAATATTTTGTGGAAGTTTTGCAATATGGATAATTAGTGCAGTAGTACATGTTTATAACTTATAAATAAGTAAATTTACACAGGGGTATGTGCTCAAAATTTTTTTTATTGATAAGAAGTGTAGGATCAAAAAAGTTTGGAAACACTTCTGAATTTAGACCATTTATCTTATCAATGCCTGTTTTTTTGTCAAGTGAAGATAGTACCTACCTACCCTACTTATATGAAACCTTACAGGAATGTATTAATAATACTTGCATATATAGCTACAAGTCAAGTCAATAAGCATTATTAAGTTTCTTTTATGTGCTAGGGATAAATATAAGTGGCCCAAAACAGCCCCTTCTCTCAAAGAGTTTATAGTCTAATGGAGAAGGCAACTTACAAACGAACAGATTGTATACAGGATAAGTAGGAAATAATCTCAGAAGGAAGGCATTGAAATTAAAACTGGGAAAGGCTTCCTGTAGAAGGTGGGACTTTAACTGATGCTTGAGGAAGTTTTAGGAACTCAATCCAGAATCCACTTTATTTCCCTCATTTTCCATGATTCCTAATAGAAGGCATTGCCACCTGGTATCCTACCATGGTAGGTTTCATATGGAAAAGACAATGTAGCATACTGGTTGAACGATTAATTTCCACCCCAAAATACCCGTTTAATATGATCTGTCAGTGCTAAATTTCCCCTTGTTAATTAATTTCCTTATTTGTGTTTAGAGTATTACCATCCTCATCACAAGAGTTCACAATCTTAGAGTCACCCTAGGCAAGTTGTGAAAATTCTGCCCTTACAAGCTCTTACATCTGTTACTTGTAATTTTCTTTTCATTCCAGCGTTTCACCTCTTACCTGGCCTATTACCAAAGCCTCCTAATTGGTCTTCTAAGTACCTCACCTCTCAATCTTTCACACAACTGCCAAAGTGATATTACTAAAGCATAGGTCTGACCATGTTATTCAAAAAGATTGTATGTCTCCCTTCTGCTTCTGAGATACAATAAAAAATGTCTCTTAACTTCAGCTCGCCTTCCAGATTTATTACATGTCCTGTCCTAAGACTCTTTAAATTAGCCAGACTGGCCTCCTTGATGTCCTTTACATGTGATAATCTGTCTGTACATTTGAGGAATGACTTTCTACTCCTTTGACTCTTAGAAGCCTTAGCTTCAGTACTTAAGCAGGAATTCTTACTCAAGGTTTTTCCTGATCACCACTACCTCTCACCCTCCAATATTACCTTGTACTTTGTATTTCTTTATGTGTATACCTATTTCACTTACTAGAATATAAGCTTATTGAGGACTGGGATTTTTTTTTTAATTCCAGGTTCTTTTCACATAATTGGTGAATAAAAGCTTGCTGATTTATTGGGAATTAAATTTCTTATCAACATAAGCCCTCTTTTGTATTTGCAGAATTGCATGCTGAGAATTTGAAGACTGAAGATGGTGTAGAGACTGGTTTATTAGGTATGAACAAAATAGGCAATTGATTTACTTGATATTTTACTTTTTCCCCAGCTGTGAAACTTACTGTGCAGATAAATAGATCATATACAAATCAAGGTTGGGGGATTATACCAAATGATAAAATGGGTTCTAAAGAGTGGTAATGGGATTCAGTCCTAACTAACCCATTTCCTTCCTTTGGTATTTATCTCATATTTGAAAGGCATGTTAGTCAATTTTAAGAAAAATTGGATAGAAGGAATTTGAAAGAGTAGATTAAATTATCAAAGTCCATAAATATTCCCACCGTTTTCCATAAGGAGTTAATTGGCTTTTTATCTGCTCTATCACCATGGACTCTTTCTAGGCCCTTGAACTGCTGAATTTAGCCAGCACTGAAAGGGGTTCCTAGCTAATGGGGAGGAGGTCGATTACCTTAAGCTATCCTAAATGAGATATGGAAAATTTGATTTAGAGCCAAGACAGGGTTAATATTTAAAAAAAAATAGCTGGGAAATATCACCCTTTTCCCTCCAAACCATAGAAACACATTTTCCTGTTGTTGCTATATAGACAAAGGTTACCTCCGCAAGCACGGGTTATAAGGCGTCCATTCTTCTGAACCTCAACCTTGTCAGTATTGGATGCAAAACAAAAAAAAAAGATGAAAACTTATCATGTAGGAAATTTAGGATCTAAATGCTTACCAGGTCTTGCAAAGTTTTTTTAATCCTTCCCAGCATCATCTCTTGGCCTGTTTCCAGGGATTTCCTTTGGCTCTGAGCTAAGCTGCTCTGCCCTCCAAAATGGTTGAAGACATTCCCCTCTCTTGCTGCAGTCATTAAAGCTGTTTTGCTGCAATATTGAATATATCTCTTTATCTTTTCTGAAAATCTCTGAAAAGACTTACTTATTAAAGTTAGTCTGAAGCATATTTACTAGCCATTTAAGGCTGGTTCTATCCATGGGGGAGGCTGGTTTTCAGCTGTACTGAATAACAAGCTAACAGCCTTGTGATCTCTGGCTAGTGCCATCTTTCTGTGAAACCTGTTTTTATGACATCACTCATTCTCCAATAGTTAATCCTTCATCTTGTTAAAAAGCTTGCCACTTCTTTTCAGATGTTCACAAAATCCTTTGTTGACTGGGTTGTATTTGTACTTAGGTCATTTATAGTATCAGAACTGTTTGACATACCCTGAAAGTAAGAAATGATGAAGCCTCTCATCCGAGGCCCACTTCCCATACATCTTTATTTAGGTCTAACTCCAGGAAGTGGTCTTTCAAAATCTTACCATTACTATTTTGTAACATAACAGTAAAAATTAAGTAAAAATAACAGGAAGATTATTTAGAAGAAAAAGCCATGGCAGACTCAGAAGAAAAAAGGGCTACAATGCTGATTTTGTAGATTACTAGTTACAATTCTTATATTTCCATTAAATGGGCTCAGTAATATTTATGTAGCACTTTAAGATTTGCAAACCATTTTATACATTTATCTCATTTGTTCCGAACAGCACCTCTGTAAAATGGTGCTGTTATTATCCCCACTTTACAGATTAGGCAACTGAGGCTGAAAGTGGTTAAATGACTTGCCCAGGGTTACCCAGCAATTAAATTACTGAGGTAGGATTTTAACTCATCTTCCTGAATCCTAAATCTAGCACACTTTTCACTGTGCTGCCTAGCTGACTAATTATGCACTAGCTTTGTTAATGAGCCAAAATATATATTGGGAAATGCTGGTCCGGGGATTAGAAAAAGTTAGTGAAGGTAAGCTACCTTCTAACTCTCTTAAATTTGTGTGTGTGGGTATAACAGGGCTTTTGGAGAGGAGGGGATAACTGGTTTATAGGCATGTATATGGGTTTGTACATTGTTCCTACAAGAAGGCAATAGCACTTTGGAGCCAGAACTTAAGTCATCAGAATGCTATGCCACTTTTTAAAATCATTTGTGCCATTTATTTGTTTTGGATGGATCACAGTGCTAAACTTAATAAAATATCTGTTAGTATGCAAAATTGGTGTCCTTCACTTTCTAGTGTTTTTTCTGCTTTGCAAAAGCAAATAATCAGTCTTTATAAGTAGCCACTAAAAGATAGGCTATTGATTAAATAGTGGGTATGTTGAATATTTCTGGAAAGAGGGCAAAAGGATTTTCCCCTTCAGATCCTGTTTTGTGTGTGTGTGTGTGTGTGTGTGTGAGAGGGTGAGACATACACTGGCATTTTCCTTTTTATATATATTTTCTAATCAGACTTTTAAACTTAATGTCTGCTTTGCTCTTTGATAACAGCAAAAAGCATATTCAGTAGACTTTCAGCAAGGTGCATGCTATGCATATGTTAAATATTTGAGGTTCTATGACAGGTACAACCACAAAGATGAAATTATTTATCTTTCCTCTCCACATTGGCATCAATCAAGGTATAAGATTTATTTATTCTTCAAAAAATGTTTGGGGTTGTCATGGGGGATGTCCTGAGCAAAATTCAAATAGGATTTTTCCTCTAAATGGTAAGGACTTCCAGCTGGTCCTGTGTGTAGATGACATTGTACTGATTGCCTGGAGCTCCAGAACACTGTAGCCCTTCTTAGACTTAAACCCCATATGAGGTCTCAATCCACAGTTTAAGAAGTGCTGAAAGGGTCAAGAATTGAAAAAGTTTAAGAAGCCCTACACTATAGTACCTCTGCAATGAGATCCATAGTCATCCAAGAGGTTGGCATATGAACTTATATAGGGAAACCCTAATAGATGAAGAATAATAATACCATCTCAAATGAATCAAAATGATATCAACCAATGGATAATTTAAGTTTAAGTAGACTGTGGCATTGTAGATTTTTGATCTATGATCGATTGTCAAAAGCAAATAGCACTTCAGAAATAGTATGAAAGACATTAGCAAGGATGTGCAGGACAGGAAGAAGAGTGGGCAGAAGGTAACATGGACAGCCTGAATAGTGGTAACTTAATTATTCATTTATAAGTGGTAACCTATAAGAACTAAATGAAGACTGTCAGCATCTTAGATAGTGCCTTTGTGGAAATACAAGAATCATATAGGATAAGGCATAGATGAGCTATAATATGCATTAGTGGAAATAGTCCCCACATTGGCAACATCAAAGATACCATACCTTGTTACCTTGATGTGTGTGTCCTCTTAGTCTCTTCTCTTCCCTAAAGAAAGAGTACTCTTCTGTCTTGGTGATCTGGAAAAATAGTTTGTGGCCCTCATTGTTCCTATTTGAGGAAATTCCCTCTGCAGAGGAGATTAATTATTAGTATTAGATTAGGTACTCCAGTAATTGCGAATAACAGATATCGCTCAAAGTCCCCTATCTAAAATATCTGGCCCTTTCTAGAATGTTATTTAAAACGCTGTATAAACAGATTCTCTAAAGCATAATATTCCTTTTTTACAAGGAAACGTGTTCATAGGGCAATCGTTGTGAGACATATATCTAAACTATTAAAAATAGCTATCTACCCCATTCACACTATTGTGTGACTATTTTTTCCCCTCACTAGGAAATGATCAAAACACTTGAAGATTGGATATTGCATGTCTATTTATTCACAGGAGTTCCATAATTTTCCAGATGCTTTTATTATTTCGAGACCATGGCATTGTAGTATTCTTTTCTTTTCCTTTTTTTTTGGCTAGGCAATGGGGTTAAGTGACTTGCTCAGGGTCACCCAGCTAGTAAGTGTTATGTGTCTGAGGCCAGATCTGAATTCAGGTCCTCCTGACACCAGGGCCAGTGCTCTATTGACTGCACCACCTAGCTGCCCCTGTAGTATTCTTTATAGTCTATGAACTACTGCTTGAATTCATCAGACTTTAAGCTAAAACAAAGCAAATATAGTCTCTAGAGTAGTGCATACTTTTTCAAGAAGATACATAAAAAACAAGACATAGTATTCTAGTGCTGAAATGTTACTGTTACTATATTAGAACTAAAATACAGAAGAGTTTCAATGGAGCTCTTTTTTTTCTCTAGATAACTTAAAGGTATGTCCCACTTAAGTGTTACTTCTCCACTATTCCTAAACTCATCAAGATTTTCTCCTTCAGATTGAAGCTGTCTTTAGAATCAAAAAGTTTAGAACTGAATTGAATCATAAACATCTAGTTTACTTTCCAGCCAAAGATAAGCCAGAGAATTGATTTGTCTGAGGTCACTTAGGAAGGACCCATGTGTGATTTAAACCTAGATCTGATCCTCTCCAAATCAAGTGCCTTCTCTACTGTGTCACTCTGCCTCTCATTTTGTAGTGTCTACTTAGATTCCAACCTGGGTTTTCTACTAGGAATGATGTCAGTGCACAACTGGCTGGAACATAATGCTTAAGACCCTAAGTCTTGTCAGGTGTGTACTATCTATATGAATAATAATGTGATTTCTTTTTTGTTGTTTTTTGGGCAAAAATGTCTCCATTTAAGCTATAGCAGCTATGAAAATGTGAAGTATCACTAAATAAATATAGCTGTCTAATAAATTCACATTCCAAAGTAGTTTGTCCTAAAATGTTACCTTGCTAATAGTGGTGACAGCTTTTTAAATTGTATGATATGTATGTCCAATGTGATAAGATAATACAGCGTAGTCTGTTAAAGTAGTGCTTTCTGAGTGACTTAAAGTACTTTTCCAAATATAAATTGTTCTCACAATATGGGCACAGAAACCGAGGACTCAAAGGTAGGTTATAATATCTTTAGGGTCATATCGAGATCAATCAGCTAAGTGGTTTGGTTTGGTTTTGTTTACCTACTATATGCATAAGACTGCTCAGCTGGTACTGGGGGCAGAGAAGTGTTTCAAAAATAATTATAAGAGGGGCAGATAGGTGGCGCAGTGGATAGAGCACCAGCCCTGAAGTCAGGAGGACCTGAGTTCAAATGTGACCTCAGACCAAACACTTGAACCTGGGCAAGTCATTTAACCCCAATTGCCTAAAATAATTATAATAATAATATTAAAAAAAAATATAAGAGATAGTACCTG